GGCTGACTGTGCAGTTTGAGTCATGGACGTGGTGTCTTAGGAACAGGTTGGCACGCGTGTGTGTGCGTGCCCAAAATCCCAAAAGAAGAAAAGAGGAGAAGAAATTGCTGTGTTGTTATCCCTCTAGGAGTGCTTTCTCAATTTCTCTCACTCCGTCTCTTGCTGGCAAGTGAATGTGTCCTATAGCAAAATAAGGAAAATTTTATTTCTTCCATAAGTGAGAGAGAGAAAGAGACAGCACTGCAACTGGGTCTCAACACCATGATCCACCTCCAGTGCCAGCCTCAGGTTGTGGGCATGGCTGTGCCCTCTGTGCTCAGGGAGGTCTCTGGAGGCAAACTAGAGCCCTGTAGGTGGGTCAGCCTAGAGCACCAACTGCAATTTACCATAATGCCCACTGCATCTTACCACAGTGCCCACTGCACCTTACCACAGTGCCCACTGATTTTACCATAGCGCCCACTGATCTTACCACAGCACCATACTGTTTTACCAGTGCCCAGTGTCTTACCACAATGCCCACTGTGTCTTACCACAGCACCCACCTCTTACCACAGCGCCACACTGGGTCTTACCACAATGCCCACTGTGTCTTACCACAGTGTCACACTGTATCTTACCACAGCACCCACTGCATCTTACCTCAGTGCCCATTGTGTCTTACCACAGCGCCATACTACGTCTTCCCACAGTGCCCACCTATCTTACCACAGCGCCCACTGCGTCTTACCACAGCGCCACATTGCATCACCACTCTTACCACAGCGCCACACTGTGTCTTACCACAGCACCCACTGCATACCACAGTGCTATACTGTGTCTTACCTCAGCGTCCACTGCATCTTACCACAGTGCCACACTGTGTCACCACTCTTACCACAGCACCGAATGTGTCCTACCACAGCGCTATACTGTGTCTTAGCTCAGTGTCCACTGCATCTTACCACAGCGCCACACTGCGTCACCACTCTTATCACAGCACCACACTGCATCTTACCACACTGCATCTTACCACTGTGTCTTACCACAGCGCCCACTGCATCTTACACAGTGCCACACTGCATTATGAAGAATTTAGCACTATGAGAAATTTTCCTCTTTAAAAAAGGAAAAAAGGAAACAAAAAAACTTCAGACTGGCAGGTGGTGTGGTGGTTAAGGGTGCTGGACTTCCACATGGTTGACTGTGGTTTGAGTCCCAGACCTGGAAGCTCGCTTTCTCACTTTCCCTTTCTCTCACTCTGTCCATCTATGGTCAAATTAAAGTAAATAAATAGAGTTAAATAATTCTTTTTAAAAAAACTTAAAAATATGTATATCAGAGGCCTCGAGTTATTATTACTGATGCTCCCTTCAGTATGGACAAAGGGACGGAGAGCAGAGATAGAGACTGGGAGAGGAGGAAACAGGGATACCTTGGAGGAGCTTCAGTCAACAGTCCTCATTTACCCACTCAGCCCCATTCCTGACTGCGAGTTGGGCCCTGAATTAGGCTTTGGCAATGTACAGTAAAAACACAAACACAAGAACAGATGAATCCCCTCCTGGACCTCACAGTGTAGTGGATACCAATGTACAGGGATCCGGAGGAAAAAATCCTCTCCTCCCTCTTCGCCTTCCTCACAGATACAGCCAGGCCCAACTATGGAGAACAGAAGCTTCCGGTAGGGACGGTCCGGAGAAGTGTCTGCAAAAACCCCGAACCCTAAAGCTGCGGTGGAACACTTTCCCGATAGATTTTCCCATGATCGGAGCCATCTCCTGAGAGACAGTGCCTGCTCTTTTCTAACTCGAAGCCTTTCAGCTGGTTACCCTCCCTAACTCGAAAACAACTGTCATTCCAGATGATTTCCAGTGGCCTCAGGACAGGCGACCCGGTTCTTCTAAAGGCCTTCTTCCAAACGTGCTCCTCTGGGGTTGCCACTCCCTCTGCCTCGGCCCAGACGCAGCCAGGAAAATGCCAGCCGGCCAATACACACGTGGTCAATCCTTTCTCGTGGTGCGGATCGTGAAGGAGACAGAGAAGGGACAGGTCCACTCCAGGGAGAGAGGGACTGAGAGGGAGACAGGCATTTAGGTCCCCCAAAGGGTCGACCTAAATTCGGAACACAAGAACGCAGAGGAAGCGGGTTTGAAGCGGCCAGAGTGGTGGAGACTTAGGTCAGTCGCCTCCTAGGGACTGACCTAGGAGACAGTGACCGGGCCTCGTGTGGCCTCCGTCACGTCACGTCGCTCGAACCCCTGTCCAGTGGAAGGCGGGGCGGGGCTGCCACGGTTCTTTGGTTTCTATGTTCCAGGGCCTGCGATTACGGGATGAGCCGCGCGGTTCCGGCCTGAGCTGGTCTCCAGGGGCAGAACCGCGTTCCCGGGTGGACCGGCCCCCGCCGAGGTGTCCACTCTGGGTTCCCCAGGAGAGCGCCCTTAGGCTGCCGCCCTCAGAGTGCGGGCGCCGGAGGACCGGGTTTAGGCCGAGGCGGCTGGACGGGGGCGCGCCGGGTCGAGGCCGCGG